AATCCGGCGATGGCGGGGTCTCCTCACGAGACCTCTTGAGCGACTTGGCCCGGGAAATCTCGGCGGCGAGAGCGAAGGCGGCGTCGGATGTGGCTGTCGGCGGTGCTTCTGGGGCGGACGAGGCTGCCGCGAGCTGTGAAGTAGCGCGTGTCGCGAGAGGTGTCTCGGTCGCCGCGAGATGCCCTTTTTCCGAAGCCATAAGGTCGCCCGAAACTCTAGACGACGTCGCTTGAAGCCGTCCAATCGAAGGTTTAGGTGGTCCAAATAAATATATGGATACACTGCTATCACGCTTTAGGCTCACCGTCGTCCAGGCAGCATCACCAAGTGATGATGTGTTGGAGGCTTTGATGTGTGGCTGGAGAGCGTGGCGAGAGCTCTCTAAGTTGGAGACTCGCGGCGCGGCTTGTTGGAGGAGTCGTGGATAAGTAGTCAGTGGCGGTTCGTTAAAAGCACCGACTGGAACCGGCAGATGATGGGCCACGTCAATGGGTGGGATGGTGATCTAGACAGAGGATGCAATGGCTACAGCTGGCAATCGACTGAAGCTCAAAGATCGAACGTATTGATGGCAAGAGCACGCTGTATTTAGGGAGAGGTGGAGGTGGAATCCAGAGCTGGGGGTGCTTCCAAAGTGGTGAGCCTCATGCCAGCGGTTGAGAGGAAAGGCTGTGCCGGGGGACCGCGGGGAGGAAGGGAAAAAAAATGGGCTGGGTTGTGTGGAGGTGCACGGGCTGACAGCCGACCGCCAAGAGGCAATAAATGGCCGTAGTTCCAAGACTGCTTTCTGTCCAATAAGGCTTGATCGACAGCTGCCCGCCATGCTTTTCCAGCTGTCTTCTGTAGCCTTGGTGTGTTTGGCTGCATGTGCGCACCACCGTGATCTCACCCGCCCCCCCCATCTCAATCGTTGCTCAGCTCTTCCACCACCGATCATCCAGCCAATTGGTCTCACATAAAAACTAGCCATCTCATTTACTCGAACATGGCTTCATCCAGCACATCACTGATTAGATATATCTCTTTACTGGCATTGCGCTTCATTAGACACAGCTATCCAATTTCTCCAAGCTCTTAGCTACTCGGCACTCCAGCTGCTCAAGTGGGCCCATTGGATGAGCAGTCATTGAACGCCGACAGACTGGACGTCAGTCCTTTGCGACGGTGTTTCGAGCAAGCGTCCACGGCTGACAACAAGCTCAAATGGCAGGTCTATGCAGGCCTCCTTTCTGAATCGCCAACCGTAGCTCGAAGCTGCAAGCGGGAGAGGTCAAGATCATTCATCGGTTACGGCTGAACGGTGGCTGTGTTGCTTCGTGTTCGAATCCTCGGCTGAACACCACCAAATTCCACCCACGCCGCCGAGGCGCCACTAAGAAGTATCGCGAGATCAAGTGGCGCAGGCATCCGGGTAACGTAATCTTATTACTTGAATTGGGATTGTGTAGCTTGGAGTATGCCTCCACCGCCTGAACGATATTGAACACAACCAGGCTGCCTGTCTCAAGACCGACTTTGAGTGATGTTTTTATCTGAATCCTTTCTTCAGATATCCGTGAGAGGTGCCGTCACCAATGTCACAGATCACTTAATAACTAACTGCTCGCTGTGCGACATAAGCCAGATGTTCGGCGGTCAGCTACACAGTAGACGTCGGCTCGATAAAGAGCCGCTTCTCTCTTTCTGCTGATTGTAACTGTCATACGAAGCAGTCGTCTCTCTGCCATCCAAAAGGTGGACGTCAGGAATGGCCTAACCACATCAAATCGAGTTTGATACAATGGTAGACCTACCATCTGCAACTCCTGATAGTGTCTTGGAGTCAACGCCCCGAGAACGTTTACCTGCCCACTTTCGCTACTCTTCTGCTCCGTTGGACACTCAATGGACGGTTTAATGTTCAAGCTGCCTTAAAGAATGCCAAGAATGCCTGCTCATGCGGAGGGTTAACACAAATGCAGAGGGAGGGTGAGTGCTTTTCAGTCAATACAACTGTCAGCTTGAAGACAGCATGTGGATCTGAGGAAGCGGAAGCAATAGCGTCTTTTCTTCCATGCTTGTGACTCTGGAGCTCTAGCTATTCACTTGTGCCCCCGACCAATGAAGTTCACTGACAAATTCTAAATGCACTCAACTGATCAGCAATAATGAGTGGATCAGTAAGGATCAAGTTTCTTCAAAGTTGGTAGCTCTTCTGCGTTCTGACAATCTGGCCCCCGGCCCCAATATCGAGTGCTCAGAGATGATGATCGGCAAACATAAGACTGGCCAGACTCGGTCCGGGTAGTTTTTGTATCGGGACAACAATGCGGGATGTATCCGATCATAATCTGGGGTCTGGTTATCTTCACAAGGCCGATCACTCTCGTATCTTCATCGCTTCGACGAGCAAAGATCTTGTCATCGTTCATGCAAATGTCAAACAGACATCGATCCATCAATGACATATTCTGTGCTGATGATAGTGGGAACAGACAGCTCCTCATCTCCCCTGCTAGCACGACACTTGTTCTTCGATCGATCGTTCGTGGCTCGGGCCACTCCTAGCATTCCTGACGACCTGGAGATTGGTTTGTTGGGCTATCATCTGGGCCATCGTATTCAGCGTTCCAGTATCGCGATCTGTTGAGACTTGGTGCAGCCTCTCAATTTCCACTGGGTACCAGGTCGGCGTGATGCAGTGGAATGTTCGTGGCATCCGGATGTATTCCAACGGTTGCTATAACAGTCCAACAACACCGCTCACATGGACAGGCGTTCAGCCGAGATTAGGGGTTTAATCAACCCAAAGCTGGAGCGAGAGATGGGCCGCAGGGTTTATAAGAGGGTGATAAGATAACGGCACATTTTTAACTTTGCTCTGGTGTTGAGCGTCCAGCCAAAAGCTTGATAGCCATCCATCGAAAGATACCTAAACATAGTATACGCCGGGATGTATTGGCCCGTGCGATTTAAGGACAGGGAAACGCTTGAGGCAATGCATGAAAGAGCAGCCTTTCATAACAGAGAAGGAAAAAAGGAACGCAGTGTCCAGCAGAACAGCGTCGTCGTCAAGCAAAAATTCGATGTTTCGACTTAAGGCAAGATAAAGAAACAACAGGAACACACATACCGAGCTTATGGTGATCGTGCCTGGATTCGTCCGATGTCACGTCGTGAGATTTCCTGCTCGCAATGTGCCTGTCATCCGAGCTGTATTCTCATGCAGCTGAACCGCAGGGTCTGTTCACAACCGCACTGACCGCTGTCATCTCTCCTTTTCGGACAACTACCTCACGTCGACAGGTCTGCAACAACAAGTGGCCAAGATCTCTCACCAGAAGTCTTGGAACTCGTACAGTAGCACCGTCTTCTATCAGCAAGATGTTCTAAGAAAAGGGAAGCGAAAACACAACCTGACGAGGTTGTTGCTGGATCGTAAATCGACCCACCCTTCCCATCCTGCCCAGTGCCCACTAAGGCGAAGCCAGCTTGCTAATGCACCCTAAACCATAGCAGGTTAGTCAGGAACAGAAACCTGCGACACTACACTAATTCAGCAGGGATTCAATTGACGATAAACGGGATCAGGCCAAACCGCGCTGCCTATCTGGGTCACTCCTGGGGACAGTTGCCCGCCTAGTTGGAGCATATGGGAGAAGGCCGAGGGCAGCAGTGATTAGCACAATCTCCGGAGCCGCCTTTTCCAGGCATGGAACGGACAATGCCATCGGACAACAGCCCAGAGAATGATTCTCGGCGTGATGTGCTGCGACTGCCGCTGCCGGCCGGGGAGGACAGAAACACAATTCTCGGCACTTCCAAGTGACGGGAGACAGGTCGGCAAGGCCTTGGTTCCATTGTCTGGGTGCAACTGGGGAGAGCCGGGAAGCCCTGACTTTTATACGAAGCAGAGTTACATACGTAGCTACCTAGACTTTGCCGTGTGCCCTTCCTTCTCTTGCATCGAAGGGTGGCGTTAGAGGAATTCACTACATATATAGCCGGGGTACATATGTCCACGTCATCATCGTGCTTGCGCGGCCGCAGGGGCAGTGGCACAGCGCAATGAATGAAACAAACATCGAAGCGGTGGAAAGTTGCTGATGGATGGCGTCCTCTTCTCATCGTAGTGGAAAAATAGAAGCCTCTGGCCAATCTTGGCCAATCTCCAGTTTCCTCCATCCCCCTGTCGTCCATGAGAGGGTGGCCTCTGCTCATCTCCTCCCCTGTTGATGCTGCGCAAAGACCCTGGCACTCAACAGCTTTCGCCAATCACAGCGAGTGGTTCCTGAATTCTCTCTCGGCAAAATCCAATGCCTGCACGTGCGTTCCTGAGAGGTTCCTGGTTCCTGTGCCTTGCAGTGTTACCGCAGCCGCTCTGGTTGACACACACACACACACACACACACACACACACACACAAAGACAATGGGACATTGTTGTGCTAGGTAGCTGCCACTTTCCTCCCGTGGCATCAATATATCTCCTGGTTCCCTAGAAGCGCAAATCGACAAGGAAGAAGGGATCTCCAGTGGTTATCCTGCGGTCCGGCGGGATAATGGCGGGCGCGTCGGGTCCAGGGCAGGTGGCCGAGCTGGCAGACGACGGAAGCCAGCTAGACCACCCAGACGGCGAATCGGCGAGGGCCCTGGTTGTGGTTCCCCAGACACTGCATGTCTCTGGCAGGAAGCGTCTAGGGGTGCCTTGTCACGGTCTCTTCATTTCGCTCGAGTCACGTTGCTTTTCCGCCCGGCGGATATGGGGCCCTTTGGAGCCCTTTGCCAGAAAGAGTCTTGCCCCGTTCCACTGCAGTGCAGCCCACCTTCCTGCCCACCGCTCGCTTCGCACGCCTTCGTACTGTGTGTACCACGCTCGTTAGTAAGTGTAGTGCAGTGCAGGGTTCTAGGTCTGCAGTCCAAGGGGGTCACAACAGTCGCTAGCAGTGTACATACACTACTTGAGCTCGCCTCCTCCACTTTCTCTTGCTCCGTTTCTTTCACTCCCTTGGACGGTTCCTTCAACTTGGTTGTTTCCACCTCCACATCATCGGCGCCCTTTCGCTTTTTTTTTTGCGATCAGGATTTCCATCCAACAGAGAGTCTTCGATTCTCTACCACATTCTTTTGGAACCACAGCGGTGTCACTCTTTTAGAAATTCGGATCAGGCTGTTGTCTAGTACAGACGCCCATCCAGACCAGCAGGTGAGTAGCTCAGCAAAATGTTTAACCTCAATCCACTCTACGGCGCGGAAGGGACCAGGTGTGCCTTGTGGATGATCTCAGACAATGGTGATCTTTTATCGAGATCAGCCTTTATTTTTCTTTGTTTCGCCTCAAAGAGATCCACGAAGGGTTCAGCGCCAGCCCGGGCAGTATCCAAGTTGGAAAACAAAGACTGACAGGGACGGTCGATGATTAGCAAGCATTCACTTTCCTGTAAATAAAAGCCGTTACACAAACACCAGAAACCCTGTCCTCGACAACATCATTCCGCTTCAAAAACAGCGAAAATGAAGGGAGTTATTGGACTCGCCCTCGCGGCCGCCGTTTCCGGTGTCGTCGCCCAGCCTCACAACCACCACGGTCACCACCACGCCAAGAAGCACGCTCACGCCGGTATTGACAAGCGCGCCGATGGTACTGTCGTGGTCACCGAGGTCGTTCAGGGCCCCACTGTCGTCGAGTATGTCCTAGACGGCAAGAAGGTCGATGCCAATGAGGCGGAGAAGGGCATCAAGGAGGGTGATTATGTCGTCCTTGGCTCATCCAAGCCTTCGTTCGTCGCCCCCCCGCCCGTTGTCTCGACCTCGAAGGCTAGCATCCCTGGCGGTGCCCTGTTTCTCGAGCTGACTAGCTCTATGTCCACGTCCACGTCTACGTCCACGTCTACCTCATCGTCCACCACTTCGAGCACCCCGACCACCTCCTCGAGCCCCATTCCCAGCTCGACCTCCAGCGAGCCCCCCGCTGCCACCTCGTCGGCGGCTTCTGAGAACCTCTCTGGCGGTGGACTTGACAGCGAGTTCCCCAGCGGTAAGATCAGATGCGATCATTTTCCCAGCGATTACGGCGCCCTCGGCGTTGACTGGCTCAACTTGTCTGGATGGACCACTCTTGCCAAGGTTGGCAAGCTCATGAAGGGCGTGGCCATCAACAACTACGAGCAGCCAATCAGCGGCCCATGCCAGCCGGGCATGCTGTGCTCGTATGCCTGCCCTCCGGGCTACCAGAAGACTCAGTGGCCTGAGGACTCCCAAGGTGCCACTGGTCAGTCTATCGGTGGTCTCTACTGCAACAGCGACGGCTTCCTTGAGCTCACGCGTGCGAGCCACCCCACCCTTTGCGAGCAGGGTGCCGGCGGTGTTTATGTCAAGAACATGCTCCCCAAGAGCGCTGCCATCTGCCGTACCGACTATCCCGGCAACGAGGCCATGGTCATTCCTCTCGAGACCAACCCCGGCGGCCAGTACCCTCTCACCAACCCTGTGTCTTCTTCCTACTACAAGTGGAAGGGCCAGTCCACCACCGCTCAGTACTATGTCAACAACATGGGCATTCCTGTCGACGATGCTTGCACCTGGAATTCCAAGTCCTGCCCCGACTGCGCCGGTAACTGGGCGCCTGTCAACGTTGGTGTTGGCAAGAGTGACGATGGCATTACTTATATCTCCATCTTCCCCAACGCCCCCACTACCGACGCCATCCTCAACTTCGACATGGAGATCCAGGGTGATATTTCTGGAGAGTGCTGGCTCAAGAACGGCAAATACTCTGGCAGCAATGGCTGCACGGTATGTTTTGCAAAATTTTGGCCCCTTACGATACCGCAAATTACTAACAGGTTGGATAGGTTGGCCTCAGTGAGGGTGGCACTGCTACCGTTGTCCTTAAGCCCCGTGGCGATTAAATGTGGTCAGTATGAAGATGTGATGAGACGTGAAATGGGTTTGGGTGGTTTACATATATATGTATATGCTGGATTTCTTTACCTCGTCGTTCTGCGCCAGCCTAGGCAGCAGAGTGACCGGGGTCCTTTTATATCATCACTTTGGGGAGGTTTTTATTCGTTTTTGGGCCCGGCCAGCCTTGACAATCTAGAAAGAGGGTAGGGCTATAGAGAGTCTCGCCGAATTTGGGTGACAGTTCTTCATAATCTTAGATGTGTATATTTGCTACTTGCTGGTTGGGCATTTTGGATGGATGGAGACATGAGACTTGGGTACGTAGTTAGAAGACCAGAAGCTTTTGACGGCTCACCCGGCTCAGCTCCATGCAGCGTACGATGTAGTGTACTTGAGGGAGGCAAAGCAATGAAGTTCTGATTTTGATCGCGATTTCCCTCCTCTTTTTTTTTTTTTTTTTTTTTTTTTTTTTTTTTTTCACCCTCCCCTTTCCAGAGTTGGTTCTCGATAAAGTCTTTGTTGTATAATCTATGCTTTACCATTGTGATTGTGTAACCGTGCGAGAACTATGGAGGAACGGATCGAATGGTAGGGAAGACAAAGGGTGAAAACTGTGATGGAGTTGTACATATTTGGTGGCTGGCTGTTTACTGGATTCGATTCTCGTGTTTTTGGCTGAGTGATACAAGCAGAGGAGGTATGGTGGTGGTGGTGGTGGTATTCCGGATGCCTGGAGTAGGGTGTCCACCTAGGTCGGAGCGCCCAAAAGATGGGATTCGTCTCAATGCTCGTTGGGCCTGGAAGCGCTGCCCGTGCGGGCCGTTGGAGCTTCCCTTCCACTTCTTGCTTCCGTTGTGTACTGAAGGTTTTGATCGCAGTGGAATTCCAGGCTGGAGAAGCGCTCCGCTGCGCGATCTGCAACATGGAACCAACAGCGGATGAAAGGCTGACGCGGAGGCCAAAGGGAAGTGGCGCGAACCAGGCGTGATGGGGCCCGACCCTCCCCCGACTGCTATCCGAACTTGTGGCGAGCCGCTCCCCAAACTGACAAGCAGGCGTCTCAGCTTGCGGCACAGGCGAGACAGGCAACAGGACAGCACAGACAAGTTGCTTCACACTAGTCAGGACCACATTCTCGTCCCATCCGTCTTCTTGTCATATGCAGTACCAGGTTTTCGCAATCAACCACTACCAGTAGAGCTTCGTATACCTAACTTTTCATCCCACTGCTGCGTACCGATCGCCGTTTTGCTATCCGTAGGTGACACAGCCCCCGACTGCCTGACAGCGTCACGGCGATGCCCCTCTCTGACCCACCTTAAGTAGCTAGCTTGGATGTTGACTTTCCGCGCGCAACAGATATCTCGACGACAGCATCGCCAGCTACCCACCCAACCGTCCGCTTAATTTGTCGAACCGCATCGCAAAATAGAACACCTGGCGACGCTTCCCCGAACCCAGTCATCGAGTTCCCGCTTCATGTTTGCCGGACCTAGAAGCCCCGAATCATGAGGGTCAGGGGAGCTCTGCAGGCGGCGGCCTTGCTGGCGTCTGCCCTTTGGGCAGCACCCCTCCTAGCCAAGGACCACCCAACCTTTAAGACAACCAAGCTGGATACTCAGCCCAGCAATCTCAACTACTTCGAAGGGTCCGATACTATTCTGTTTCATGACCCTCACAAGTCCAACCTCTGGCGCTCCGATGACGCAGGCGCAACATGGTCCGTGGTCAAGGACATCCCAGACGGCAAGGTCGCTCGGCTATATATGCACGACTTCGATTCGAAGCGGGCGTTCGCAATCACTGATGGAAGAAAACACTACCGCACTACGGACCAAGGCAAGACGTGGAAGACGTTCGAAGTCGATGCTGCATGGGACACAGAGCGGTTCGATATCCTGCACTTCCATGCTACGGATCCCGACCGCATTATCTTCAACGGTCTACACTGCCTCGGCTTCCTCTGCGAGGAAGTGTCTCTTTACACAATCGATGACTTCGAAACCCCTGCCAAACCTCTCCGTCCTGATACCCTTGGCTGCTGGTGGGCAAAGTCTTCTCCCGTATTTACGACTGGCGACTCGGACCTCGACAAGGATCGCATCCTTTGCATCATCATGGGCGTCGATTCGATCTTCTCAGAGGATCGGCGCCTGGTCATCTCGGACGACTTTTTCAAGGCTGATAAGGAGGGGAATATCCAAGAGTTCGAGCCAAACCTAGCCGGTGATAAGCCCGTACGTGGTGTCGTCAATGTGGCCGCTGTGAAGAGGTACTTCATGGTAGCTACGACATCCGCCAACACCGACGAGATGGCGCTCTTTATCTCCACCGATACCAAGAAGTGGCAGCGGGCCATGTTCCCCAACGCGCATGATGATCACGATCACAAGATTGTTCAAGAAGCCTATACTGTCCTGGAAAGCACAAACTACAGCATCCAGCTGAACGTTATGACAGGCTCAAAATCGGCACCGATGGGTATCATGTTTACCAGTAACTACGATGGCACGTACTTCAGCGAGAACCTCGAGTATACCAACCTCAACATGTTTGGCCACGTCGATTTCGAGAATATTGCCGGCATTCAGGGCATCTTCCTGGTCAATAAAGTGGATAACGGCAAGGAGGTGGACGAGAAGCCCAGCACCAAGAAGAAACTCGTGTCAGAGATCACCTTCGATGATGGTCGAACTTTCGACAAGGTTACCGCGGACGGCAAGAGAATTCATCTTCACTCGGTCACCGAACTTAACAACGTCGGTCGTGTCTTTTCAAGCCCGGCACCCGGTCTGGTCATGGCCAATGGCAACACTGGTGATTACCTCGGGGACTACTGGGAGGATGCCAATCTCTATGTCTCTGATGATGCCGGCAAGACTTGGAAGAAGGCACTGAAGGGGCCACACAAGTACGAATTCGGAGATCAAGGATCTATTTTTGTGGCTGTTCGCGATTCGAAGGAGGAAGACATCTCAGAAATCAGCTACTCACTTAACCATGGAGAGAACTGGGTTGATGAGAAGCTGCCCAACGATCTGAAGATACAGCCTTGGATCCTCACAACCACCCCTGATTCGACTGGCCTTCAGTTCGTGCTTATTGGTAAGGCTAAGGGTGCCTGGCACGTAATCCATATCGACTTTGAGGGCCTCCACGAAGCTACCTGCAAAGAAAGCGATATGGAAGAGTGGCATGCCCGAGTTGACAAGGACGGAGAGCCTACTTGCATCATGGGACACACTCAGACCTATCCCCGCCGCAAGAAGGATGCCAAGTGCTTCCTCAAGAAAGAGTTCAAGCTTGCGGAGGTGGAGACCAAAGACTGTGATTGCACAGACCAGGATTACGAGTGCGATTACAACTTTGAGCGAAACGACAAGGGCATTTGTGTGTCTAGAGGACCCATTCCCATCCCAGAGGGCGCTTGCAAGGATGGTGATAGAAATGATAAATTCCTAGGCACCTCGGGGTACCGCAAGATTCCCGGCAACACCTGTAAGGATACCAAGGAGACAAAGGATAAGTATAAGGATGTCGAGCGGTCGTGTGGTGATGGCATCGGTGCCCCACCAGATGAGGCTACGGGTGAGCTCCAGCAGGTCGACACTAACGGCAAATTTGGCCACTGGACCCATTGGGAGAAGCACTACCTTGAAAGAGGCGAGTCTAGTAGCGATTCCAGCGAGACCATCATCATGAGAGGGATGAACCGCACAGTTGATGATTCAGGGCCAAAGGTTGGTCCTATCTGGAGGACCACAGATCACGGCAAGAAATGGGACAAGGTAGATTTCTTCAAGGACGATGAAGTTATCAGCATTGTTCCCCATCCTACCGTCAAGGATTGGGTCTTCTTCCTTACTGAAGGCAAGAAGCTGATCTACACGCCTGATCGTGGTAAACGCTTCCGCACTTTCGAGGTGCCGCAACCCGCCGATTTTGAGGCTGCCGCCAACGGCATCTTCCCGCTTATCTTCCATCCTGACAAGCCGAACTGGCTCATCTGGCTAGGGAAGAAGTGCGAAAGCAAGAACGACTGCTATCGGGTCGCATACGGCACCAAAGACGGAGAACGTTGGGAAACCCTTGCCCGCGATGTCTACCGGTGTGAATTTACGGGAGCGGAGGCTTACGGGCGCAAGTACGCGAACCGTGCTTTGGAGCAGATTCTCTGCCTCAAGCACGAGAAGGAAGGTGACAACGACAGCGCCCTGCAGCTTGTCTCATCCAACGACTGGTTCAACCAGGATGAGAGAGTACGCCTGAAGGAGGCCAAAGAATTCGCCACCATGGCAGAGTTCATCGTTGTTGCGACGGAAGATACGGAAAAGAAGACGCTGCGGGCGTACGCTTCTCTTGACGGCAGTCTCTACTCCGAAGCGAAATTCCCCTTTGGGTTTGAAGTCCCTCACCAGCACGCATATACTGTCTTGGACAGCTCAACCCATGCCGTCAATCTCTTTGTGGCAACCAGGATGGAGGGTGATAAGAGTCTTGGTACAATTCTGAAGAGCAACTCCAACGGTACATCGTACGTTGTCAGCGTGAAGAACGTCAACTGCGACCAGTACTTCTACGTCGATTTTGAGAAGATGGTTGGTTTGGAAGGTGTTGCTCTCGTCAACGTGGTCGCCAATCCAGACGCGAAGAGCAGCGCGCCCAAGAAACTTCAGACCAAGATTACGCATAACGACGGCGCCCAATGGGCGTACCTTCCTACTCCTAAAAAGGACGAATTTGGCAAGTTCCCGTGCTCGTCCAGCGGTACTGAGAAATGTGCACTTCATATTCAGGGTTACACCCAGCGCAGGGATCGTGGTAAGACGTACTCATCTGAGGGTGCCGTGGGCGTCATGTTTGGATGGGGTAACGTGGGCGACTCCCTCGGATCGATCAAGGATGCCGACACTTTCATGACTACAGATGCCGGTATCACCTGGAAGCGGGTCAAGAAGGGCAGATGGAACTGGGCCTTGGGTGATCAGGGCTCTATCATCGTCCTCGTTCCTATCAGGGGACAGAAGACGGACACGCTCGAGTACTCTCTTGACCAGGGTGCTACTTGGAAGAAGCACACCTTCTCGAAGGAGAAGGTTGATATCTGGGATCTTACTACAACGCGCTCTGGCAACTCGCAAAATTTCTTGATTTGGGGTGAGAACAGCGACGGTCTGTTCACCACCAAGATTGACTTCACCAAGTTTACCGACCATGTGTGCAAGTACGATCCAGAGAACCTCAGCAAGTCCGACTACCAGATCTTTTCCCCGAAACACCCCCTCCAACCTGATGGATGTTTGTTTGGACATGTTTCTCAGTATCTGCGCAAAAAGCCTGGCTTGAAGTGTTTCAACGATTTCAGGTTGGATCCGCTGTACAGCAAGCAAAACTGCACCTGCACCAGGTCGGACTTTGAATGGTTAGTATTCTCGCCCTTGCTTATTCCCCTTCCTGAACCCTTCAGATTGCTAACGCGGACAATTCTACAGCGACTTTAACTATGAACTCGACAACCACGGCCAATGCTCCCTCGTCAGCGGCCTCAAGCCCAAAGACCACAAGCTCTGGTGCAAAGAACATCCCGACGAGATCGAGTACTACGAGCCCACCGGCTACCGCCGTATCCCGCTCACCACCTGCCAAGGCGGCCAGGACTTCGAGAAGCAGGCGGCCGTCCACCCGTGCCCGGGCCACGAGGACGACTTTGAGCGCAAACACCGCGTCTCGGGTATTGCCATCTTCTTCGCCGTCGTCCTCCCCGTGGCCGCCGCCTCCGCCATCGGCTGGTGGGTCTACCGCCACTGGGATGGAAAGTTTGGCCAAATCCGTCTCGGCGAGCAAGGGGCGTCCACCATGGAGTTCTTCGATGCCGATAGGCCCTGGGTCAAGTACCCCGTCATCGCTCTCAGCGCGGTGGTGGCGCTGGCGGGCGCTATGCCGCTTGTTTTGGGGGCCCTGTGGAGGACAGCCAAGAGCACGGCGGAGAGATGGGGTATCGGAGGCGGTGGCGGCGGGAGAGGTGGCTGGAGTCGGCTGGACGGTGGCGGCGCGTCGAGGACGTTCAGGACCAGGGATAGCTTTGCAAGGGGGAGAGGCGATTATACTATCGTGGATGAGGACGAGGGAGAGTTGTTGGGGGAGGAGAGTGATGAGGAGGTTTGAGGTGTGAATTGTCTCGGACGTGAAGGAGGTTTCTTGGTGTGGAAAGCGATGCGATGGTGATTTGGGTTAGTCAAAGAGATGGGGAGATGTATGGCTGGCTTAGAAATCCATGACACATGAGAGGGAGGCGTGGACGGATGACTGCCGTGGTAAAGTTGTGGTGGTTGGCTGAATACTCCTGTATGGATACGATGTGATGCGATGCGATGCGAACATGTAGATTATGAAACTGCCTTCATTTCATTTACATTCTTACGCTGTGGCGCTGGTGTTATCGCTACTCAGTCGAAGGACAAGCATCTCTGCTCCTTTAACTAACCTCTTTCCTCACACGTCAGAGTTGCTGGTTTGGAAAGACTTTGAATAATGTATTGGGATGGGACTGGTGGAGAAAAGGATGAAGGGTTGTAATGAGTGAATTGGATCAGAGTAGGAGTTCGTTTGATAAGATGTAAGTATCAACATAGACACCATAATGTGTTATTTCCATGTCCTCTTCCTGGTTCAAGTCCACAAGGCAAATACAGTTAAACTTTACCACTTTCACAGACTCCAGAAGTCGTACCCTCCTTTCATACCACTGATTTATTCAAATACACTCTGGTAAATCGTAACAGAAGCCAGTCTTTCTCCATCAGCATCCCAGAGCGACGCGCACGGCACCACGGCTACGGACACACCACCACCACCAAGGGCGGCGGCGGCAGAAAGGCTGGCATCCACATAACGCACCATGACAGATGGGCCACCCCTTTCGTTGTCGGGCTCTCCGTGTCCCTGGTTGATCAGCCGACGTGTAGACAACCACGCAAGCTCATCGACTGCGGTAAACGAAGACGAAGACGAAGACGAAGACAGAGATGATAAGGGGGGTGAACTCCCACCCATGTATCTTTCCACCAAAATAGTCTGCAGGAGAGCGGGTCGTCGGCCTGATGCTTCATTTTTGACTCCCTTGTCATCATCATCATTGTCCATATCGTCCATATCGTCATCGTCGTCGTCTTGCTCAGACGTGGAAGCAGGAGAACGGACAACAGTCTGATGGACCTCCACCACTCTCTCTTCACCAGTATCGTCATCGCTGTTTATATTTGCCTGAAAGCTCTCCAAAACCGTCACACTCTTTGACCCAGCCTTGGCGATGCCCAGATGCGCGTGCCACTCGACGCCCGCGGAGCGAGGGAGCTCGGCGACTTGTGCAGCAAAGAAGAAGGGTGGGGTTGCCCTCCTCCTCTTATTTTTGTTGTCCTTGATGTTGTTATTCTTGGAGAGGACACTCCAATCCGGTAGTTTTGGTTCCGAGGAGGAGGAGTCTTCTGTGGAGGTGACAGCAAAGGACATATACCGGGGATTGAATTTTCTGTCCCAGAGGTCGGGACCGTCATCGTCGTCAGAGTCTGAGTTAGCGTCAGAGTCCTCCTCGTCTGATGCGACCTTGGAAGAAGACCACTGATGGGCCGATTGCCAGGTCTTGTAAGCCAGTCTGGCCTTTTCGCTCATGGGCATCGAAAAGGAGGAGGAGTCGGTGGTGGTGGTGGCCGCGGGGAAATAAGCCACGGCGCTAGTCCACCATTGCACGCCAACTTCGAGGCCGATGCGCCAGAGGTGTTGGAGTGAGAGGGCGAGTTGGGTGTTTAGTGCCTGTCGCTGTTGCTCTGATTCCGCAGGAGGCAGGGCCATGGTGGCGGGTACAAGGGGGATTTGACCCGCGATGGTAACTAGTCGTGGACCACCGTTGCCGTCGTCATGATTGCCGCCAGTGGAGTTTGGGGGCTTTGAAAAAGATGATAGACTGGCCAACGGAAGTGAGATGGCTTGGCTATATGGTCCAATGTTGGCGGGAGCCCAGTATGAGCGGGATTGCACGTGAAGACCTTGTCGGCGCTGGTCGGTTGTGGATTTGTTGGTGAAGCCGGTGTGCACGGTGAGGTAGATGGCGATGCTGATGCTGCCATTGTTGTTAGTCAAGGCGGACAGGGAGTCACCGCAAGCAACACAGACTCGTGAAGGAGGGTTGGGTGAATCAAAGAGGGCACCGTAGACGGAGTTGACGGCAGGGAAGTCGGCCATGTGACGAAGGAGAATCGTGGAGGTGAGAATGGCGGATGGAGTGAGGTTGGATTGCTGGAGTCGTTGGCGAATTTGAGAAACGAGCAATGATGTTTCTGTCTCGACCGTGTTGCTGCTACCAGCGGAGGAAGAAGCATTGCCGAAGAAGCACCATTGTTGTAGTTTGCTGTCGTTGAGACTTTGGGGCAGTCCAAGCTGAAATGTACCTTTTTGCTTCGACAAGCTATGTTGAGGTTCCAAGCTGAGCAGAGCCAGAAGCTTTCGAGCTTCCTCCTCGCCAGCGGAAGCACTTGTATTCAAACCCTCCAACACGCCCACAAACCTAGCATCCAACAAATCTGGGATCCTGATTTTTCCAGTATCACTCTTCTCCTCATCAGAAGCCGCCAAGGTGACTTCTTTATCCTCCAACTTTGCACTTCTAAAACTCAACCAAGCACACCCTCCTCCCTCCCGAACAACCCTCCTATCCTTCTCCTCCACCATGATCCTCTTCCGAAACAGCTGTCGCGGCCCATCCAACACCAACGTCTCGAACTCCCCTCCCTCCCCAATCACTGCGCCCTTCTCCGACGCTGTCCCGAACCGCCGCATACTCCTCGCGATCCTCTCCTTTCCCAATCGATCCGCGACGTTGGTCCAGAGGAAGGAGTCGTCCAGTCCGCCACTGGCTACCTTGATGATGCGCGCTTCCATGCCCGCGGCGGCCATATCGTCTAGGAGTTGCGCGTCCGTGGTTGCAACGTCTCCACCAGCCAAATGTTGTGGGACGGGCAGGATAGGGAACTTCCACAGAAAGGCCAAAGGCGTCAGGCCCAAGCGGACGGCTACCGACTCGACGCGCGTGCGCTGGTAGGTGCTGAGGATGGCGCCGGCGCAGATGGCGTTGGCTTCGGGGTGGGCGCGCTTGATGGCGAGGAGGAGGGGGATCATGGATTCTGTTTCGTCGTCGTCGTCTTTCACTTGTTTCGCTTTCGCATTGTTGTCCCCTTCACCTTGGACAGCAACCGCCGTCGAAAAATGCGAATAATCCTTCCCCTGCGTGGCCCCCCCGAGAATGGGCTGGCGGTACAGCGGAATACCCGTGGCCTCGGCGTACAAGGGGATCACTTGGTGGCCGACGGTTTGATACATGAAACTGTTTAAATCTTCTTCTCCTTCTTCTTCTTCTTCTTCTTCTTCTTGCTGTGATCCTTCATGTTCATTTGTTTCTGGTGGGTGTAGATTTGCTAGAGCTACCACTCGATGGCCGTGAGCGAGGCAGTGGAGGAGGGAGAAGAAGCTGTCTTTGCCGCCGGAGATGAGGGCGATGACGTTCAGCCGTCCTCCTTGAGCTGGAGGAGGAGCCGCGGGGGTAGCCATCGTGCGCTGATTTGATGCTAGACCTGACTGTGCATGTGTTTCCCTGTTCTTGTGCTCTTTCCGTCGAGTATTGAACGCAGCTACTGGTGAATTCGGGCAGTCGTCCTGCTACTGAGGTGACGACAGCCCAGGACTCTGGGATGTGTGACTTTTGATGGTAACGTGGGTCCAGCACGAGCCGCCGAGATGGGTGACTAGTAAAGCCTCCTTATGCTTGAATGAATCAATTGTCAACGTAGAAATATTCGTCGAGATGGTGTTTATCGTCTGGTCAACTATCAAAACTTCACGCACTGCAACTCCAGTGGGGACCCCACTCAGGCCGCGCTGCGATAGAGCGGTACTTGATCAAATCACTTATTTGGTGCATTTAGAGAATTTCGTAGGTATACCACTAATTGAGGGTAGGTGACTTGGCTGTCTCGTCACGCTGAGCGCATCTACGAGCTGGACGAGAGATCCTCGAAATTTGTAGCCGCAAGAGAAATTGACCAGTATTTGAGAATTCACCAGAGGATGCAAAAGAAGCAAGACTTATTTAAATGTGCATTTCTAGATGCCTTTATTCTTTTCTCATGACCAACTGGCCTGAGTGTGATGCTAAGCTAACGACGATACAGTCCTATCCTGCAAACCGAGGATACCATGAGTATGATGTGGAGGAGGAAACAACAGCCTTTTGTTGAGAAGAAGAAGAAAAAAAGTATGAAGGAAGCATGCGCGGTGGACGGCTGAGCCAGCTGCTTCGTCCACCGAACGATTAAAATGTCCGGAAACATCAAAGTGTAACAAAACTAATAAGGAGTATGTGTAAACTCCAAAGCAACTAGCTGTGTGCGCCTAAGACAGAGACTGCTGTCCTCCTCCAATCGATCAAAACTCAAAACCCGGGGGAATCTTGCAATACCTATAACGCCCTTTTATATTCCAACCTTTTCTAAAGGCATGGTGAATGGGCGTCCGATATTGCGCATCCATCGTTCGTAACAAACATCGAGGGGGTATTCTTTCTCTCTCTCTCTCTCTCTCTCTCTCTCTTTCAAATTCTTTTGACCCTTGAAAGCGCCGATGGTGGGGGTATTTCGGCCAATGAATCTCGTAATGGTTCATGTCTAACATCAATAACGCCGGCTCCGTTCCACTGCGAAGACCGTCGTTAATGGGGAAGAGTGTGCGAAGAAGTGAACAAGCGGTTTTAGATTAGCGCAGTGAAGGTTATTCACTCGCCTCTCCTCCGCTTCTTCTTGTTGACATCGCTGTCGTCGGATGACTCGCTGCCGCTGCCTGGAACCTCGGAAGCAACCTGGAAGAGGACCTTGCCAAAAGTGTGGCAGTCCTCGCTGGTGAGGGCTGGACCCATCATCGGATGATGGATGAAACCGGGGTGGTGCATGCCCATCAGTTCGGGGTCGTTGATCAAGTCCATGACAAGCGAGCCAGAGCCATGGGTACGGGCATGCTGAGACAGATTGTCGGAACGAGAAAACTTCTTGCCGCACTCGCCGCACTCGAAAGGCTTGTCCTGAGTGTGCAAAGACCGGTGGTGACGCTTGAGGTGCTCCTGGCGGCGGAAACGACGGTTGCAAATGTCGCACTTGAAGGTCTTGGAAGGGTCTTCGGTCAAGGACTGCTTGCGGCCGCGGCGGTTGGTAGGCACCGGGAGCGGCGTCGACGCCTGCTCGCCAGCCTCGACCGAGGATTCGGTGGTCGCGTTGGACTCGGTGTTGTTGCTCTCAGCCTCGGCGCTGGCTGCCTGCTGGGTGTGTTCGCTGGCCGGGGCCTGCTTCTCGGTGCTGGCGGTCTGGTTGTCGGCAGCGACGTCCATGGTGGACTTGCGTGCGTGCCTTGCCCTCTTGCTGGGGCGGGCCTCGCTATCGGAGCAGCAGTCGTCCTCAACCGACTCAACGTCGTGCATGTCCTCGAGTTCGTCGCAGAAAAGGCTGGACTGGTCGAGCGAAGCAGCGCCGGAGCTGGAGCGCGAGCGGCTGCTAACGCTGGGGGAGCTCTCGACCAGGGAGCAAGAGCCGCTGGTGAAGGGAGACTCGTCCTCCGAGTCAATGTCAGTCAGGACGGAGAGGATGTCAAAGACAGGAAGGCCAGCAGTGAGCTGGGGGTTGAACGAGTAGTCGAAGGGGGTGGCGAGTCTCTGCGGGGCAATGCCTTGGGAGAAGTAGTCGCGGTCCTCCTCGTCGGGGGAGTAAATGGTGGGGAAGTACTCGGGAGCAAGGGTGGAATTGACAGTGCCCACGGTAAGCTCGCGCGGATCGCAGACGCCGTCGACGGGGACCGGGAAGATGGAGGCCGGCTGCACGAGCGGCGACGCGGCAGGCGAGAGCAGCGTGGTGTAGGTGGGAGTGGGAGTAAGAAGGCCGCTGGCGGTGGGGGTTGGCGTGTTGAGGCTCAGGTCATTGGAGGGGAGCATGGGCACCTGGATGCGGGCCTGGTCGGGAAGGTACACTAAAAATTGGGGTTCCTGGTCAGCTCAGTGCCCAGAAATGCTCGGACCAGCAGTGCGCGGGCAATCAGAGTCGGGCGTCCGCCCGCGATTTCCTTGCTGCAGCAGCCTCCACATCCCCGCTTGCATCTTGAAACAGTAGTTGCAGCCAGCCAACAAATCCATCCCGTCACCGCTTCCACTCCGACCCACCGAAGCTCGGCTTGCTTGCAACTTCCCAGCTCGCTTCCCTCTCTTGCCAAGGATGCTGCACTGCACACTCAAACAGAAACGCAAAAGAGAAAAATACATACCAGGTGTAAGAGGAGGAGAATAAGGCTTCATTTCGTGACCAGCAGGCTTGACCTCGAGGCCGTCCATTCCCGACACCATGGGGTTGCACGGAGTCTGGAGCAAGTCACAGCTGCGCGGGCTGCTGGCAGCGCTATTGGAACGCGTCAGCGGAGGGCTTGGCGGCATGCCGCAGTAGTCGCCCATCTCGGTTTGCAGCTTGATGGCGGGTCTGGCGTGGGAAATGGGCTGAGGAGAGGCCATTGGCGTGAGCACCTGAGGGACAGGCATGCTGGTAATGCTGTCGAGGTTGAGGAACGGCTTGTGCTGCATGGGTGACTGGAGGCAGCCCGAGTTGCGTCTGGAGTAGATGGGCGTCGACGGCACCGGCGGCACAACGGGAAGCATGTTCATCTGGTAGGGAAAAGGGTTGAAGATGTGCTGCCGTTGCTGCCTCTCGGGGCTGGCGTCTGATTCATAGAAGATGAAGGGCTGAGCCATGATGTCTTCCATCTTGATCGTATTATATAGTGCTGTCCTGCCATTAGCTGCTTATTCCTCCCAAGTCGATGCATGTCGAACGTTGGTACCAACCAGGAAAGAGGTAGTAGCTTTTGTAACTGTGGCAATCGATAGATGCCTCTGACGTCTGGGGGGTTTATATATTAAGTGGTGTATATATGTGTGTATATATATGTATATAGATGTCGCGTCGTGTTGTTACTATTGCTTCGTGCCGTGAAGGGCTAATGATGGTGTTGACTGGTTGCCTCCGGGGAAAAGATAGGCTGGCAAGTCTAGATTAATAAGTCGCTGTACATAAACCGGATCGAGAGCTTGAATTGTCGTCGAGCTGGTGCCAATGGTGAAGTGGTTGACTGAGACCAAGTGGTGATGTAAATATCAAATGGAAACGAAGGAGTGTTATCCAAAACCTCGAGATCCAAAAAGAGGGCAGAGACCGGTAAGTAAAGGAATAAATACACCACACGTCCAAGAACAAGATATGCCGATCTCAAGAGTGGAAAGAGGAAGCGTGGAGACGGGGACCCTGGGAGGATAAGTAAGTCCCACCGAGATCAGCGGACAAAAGACGATGCAACGGCGCTGGACAGGAACCGGCTTCGACTGGTGAGACTGGGCAAGCCGGGATGGTCGACACCGCGCCCCAGGACAACCAGGGCCCAGCATACCACCCGGGATGTACTGTCCGGGTACGGTCTATGCGTTCTTTGGCTGAGAGGTGTACATGTGTTCTGTGCGTACCAGAGCTATGTACGTATACTATACACTAGTCGAAATGCATACTGGGCCTCGCTTGAAGGTGACAGGTTGTACCTTGAACTGTACAGACTGGGAAGTTCAGGAACCCACCGTGTCCACCCGACCCATGTCCTCATGTTTTGGGGGGGTGGACGGTGGACGGCAACATGAGAAGATGGGTGGGTGTGGGTGGGCTCTGGCTTGTCTGGAGGAAAGGCACAGCCGCCAGTCCAATTCTGGTACTATTCTAATTCTGGACTCGAGCAAGCAGCAGCAGCACCATCCCAGCAGCCTGAATGAAGGTACCACAGAGCGAACCGCAGCACGGGTACCTCGACGCAAGCTTCCCCGTGGACCGTGAGCAGCGATCTTGCAGGCCCAAGTGCTCTCTAGTGCCGCCGAGGACATGAATGGCCCCAGTGAAAGCCAGCAGCTCGCAGTAGTGCTCGCACACTCCGGACCACTACCACACCACCTGTGCCGGTCATCTCACCTCCAGTCCGGGTGCTGAGGGCCTGGTTCGCTGTGTCCTCGCTCTGGTTGTCTCGGAGTGAGGACCAAGCTTGGGCAACGAGAAGTCACGGAGGCCATAGAGCCCGTTGAGAGGCTCGGCTCCCATCCAATGCGTGCGTTCTTTTCTCGTCGTGGTTGGCATCATGGCCCCGATGTTTACGACGACTGTGTCGCTCCAGTTCCACAGGCCCGGGTTCCCGTCCTCGTCCGAGCGACTGGAAATGGGGAATTTCAGATGAGCACCCACCCAAGTTCGTCCGATCCTCAGCGAGCTGTGAGCGGGCGCACTGTGTTTATTACGGTGATTGTGCGTCTGGCTGTCTGGCCGAGCATTGGTCCAGACTGAGCTGGGATTGGGCACGGACACCTCTACAGAGCATCATAGGTTAGCAAAGTACCTCCAAGCAGATCAAATAGGGTTCGGACCAGCGGCAGACGGGAGTATTCCGGTAACATGGGGATGTCGAGACAAGCCCTGGGGCCCCAGCAGCTTCACAGTCTGGACAATGAGCCTGACGATGCCTGCAGAGGTGAAGCTATGGTGGAGCAGCTAGGAATTACTGTGTGGTAGCAGAGAGCTGCAGAGCGAGCTGTAGGTCAAGGCTACTCTTGATTCTGCGGTCAAGCCCAAGAGAAGCACACTCGACGCTCACGCAACGGGCTCCTGCTCATCCTACGACGAACAAGTTGTCGCCGTCTACCGCTTCTGTCCAGAAGGCCCAAGGGCTTGGGAAGATTGCCTGTACTGTGTAGATTACCGAGATTTGAGCCTGAATGGTCTCGGCCGAAGTTATACATGAGTTGTAGCGTATTGTCGGTAACAGAGCTCTGGAGTAAAAAATGGGCGAGAAGGGAAATGGGTTGCTCGGTTGATGGGTCCATCCGGATCCAAGGCCAGAGCCGGGGAGCCAGGCAAATACTGCTGCTAGCACCAGGGCCGCGAGACAACTCCCACCTGTCGCCGCCACTGCTTCAGCGAAATGATGAGCACGGGCAAAAGGCGGGCCAGCAAGGAAGTAGCAACGACGACAGAGAGGTGCGGTGGTATCGCCGTGTGTCGGATGGTGTGGACAAGGTGGGGTGATTTGGGATAATTGAGGTTGATTGGGTTGATTAGGCCAATGAAGCTATGGTGTATGTAGTGCACCATGCCCTATACTCTACGACTTTTTGATACGCAGTAGCTGAAACCCAAGCCTGTGTTTTGTTTGGTGCATTGTCATTGAGCAGCTGCGCTAAAATGGCTGCCTCTGACAGATCTTTCGAATGAAAGTGATACCTCTACGCAGCGACTTTGAAAATAAAAAGAAAAATGAAAATAAAAATATGGCAAAGTGACAGGTACACAAAAGAGAGAATGGTGCTGCTCCGCCGTCGGATCTCCCGTTCATTTGACTTCCTTCGCTTCAAAGCAAATCGGGTCGGCGTGCTTGAATTATGATGTGTGGATCCCGCAAAACGGACCCACCGCTGCGACCGGTTCCGTCCCCGTATCTGCCCGGTCTGTGTTATTTGAGGGTCTGGCGTCCGGCAACGCATCAGCTATCCCCGCTGTCATCACTCGCTCAAATAGCAAACTCAATAAGCAAGTTTAAGGGCCTTGTTACTGCACTGTTGAGGTTCAATCGAACTTTTCAGAATCGCCTCATGCACGTCTCAACGCCAGGTGTGCGATTGGCAGCCAAAGACTGTCCCAGCGGCCGCCGTTCCCAAGTGGTTTCAGCGATTGTAGATAGAAAACACATGAAACGGTCGGAGACCTCACGCAGGTACGCTGTAACCCAACATTGGATCGATGACGGAGACAGAGATGGCCACACAGCACCGACGAAGTACTAGAGGCTCAGGCAGCTCAGCTAGTAGTGACCGTCGACTACGGAATCTCGAGAGTATTGGCAGCACAGGCTTACAGCAGTGGCACGGACGATGGGGCCGTCACGACTAGCTTGCCAGACTTGCCCCTCCGATGCATCATCACTTGGTCGATGGTGTAATGTTATTTGCTGCTGCCAGTCAAGACGCGCCGTCACCATTGAGACCAGTGATTGTGATAGAAAGAGGTGAGCGCCCGCGCGGTACGTAGCCGGCCCTCCGCATCTTGTGTCTTTGATTTTTGATTTTTTTTTGTGGTGATGGCGTCGGGCAGTTTCCCTATCACATTGGACAACAACGCCATCAACTCTACTGGGCAGTCGCAGTGGCAAACTCGACGGGCGCCGTCAAATCGGAATCCGAGCCTGGACTTGAGATTGCACATGTCGACCACTCAGCAGTATCGACACTGGTTCTTACACAACCAAGGCTGCCCAAGATTTCAGTTCTGATGCGAACACGGGTTTGACGGGCAGCTCCTGCCTTCGTACTGATTTTCGTACACTACCTCCCGTCTACACTGCATTGCGGACTTGCATGGATCTTTACAGGCGGCAGGGTTTGTGAATCGCAACTTCCTCCATCGCCGGCGAATGTGCTAGGCGGACGAAGCTGAGAGAGAGAGGCTCATTTCCCTGACAACCCCGCGCGTGCTCTGCAAGTGGAATCGATCAACATGCAAATCTAGCGAGAGAAACAACTCAGACACTGGGCGCTCGAAGCACTGCAAACACGTGCGCACCTTGCTGGCTATCTGTCCGAGCAGCATCTCAATTCTCGAAGACCTCAAACTGCAAATCTCAGTAACAATTAAAATGGCAATCATGCCAAACATTCCCCGAGGTTTGCCCACAGCCTAACTGGCAAACCACGAGGCTTCTATTCACAAGCCCTTCAAGCCTTCCGAGTCTTCCAAACATCTCAAATGCCACACTCGAGCAAGCACCAGTGGATAGAGACAGCAACGCCGTCATCACATCCACAACTACACAAAAACCTCAACTCAAGGGTCCAATCGCTTCATCAGTGTAGTGTACCCTCGAGGCCCCAAGCGTCAACCTACCTAGTCTCCCGCTTGAGCCAGGTTCCATCTTCACACCGCCTTGACCGCTTACTGCACAGTACATGAATGCTAACCTAGATAGGAATCTGCTTGCCTGGGGGCCTTGGGAGCCTGGCCGCTGACGGCTGGCTTTTTGGTCCCCGCTCACACCCAGAGGCTGTCATTCAAGAGGTGAAGCAGTTGGCGGAAGTGCTCCCGGCCAGAATTCCGCTTTCTAGAAATCATTTGCTTGCCTTCCTTTTCACGGGCGGGATCGCTGTCCACGGTCTCGCTCGGACCCGAAACAGATTTCTTCGACATACTCGGTAGCATCGGCCGGACTCCATCACTTTACCCCGGATTAATCTCCCAGCCTTCACTACCTTCAATGCATGGAACGGTATGATCGCATTGGCCCGACTCGCTGTGCTTTGTGCATTGCGTCGTAGACACCGGTCACCGAAATTTCTTCTCATACGACTGCTCCATCATGAGCTTTACTTCGGGGAGACCATCCTATCAACTAAAAGTTGCTCCTAGTCGTAAAGCTGGCAGAGTCGAGCCAAGGTGCGTGTATGCGATTCTGCCTTCAGTTATATTGTGGTCTGGATGGAAAGTCGAGGTTGTGACGGGATGTTTGTTATCACTCGCAGTTTCTGTACCTTGCAGGCGGTCTGCATCTGCACATGCGCTACTGCAAAGAACCGACGCACTAACCTGTAGGTACAACAGAGGCAGGATTTTCACACAAACTTGAGACAAGGTTGGTTTGCCGTCTTTCACCGTCCGGATAGGCTGTTCCCATCATTTGCACCCTCCATCATTCAAAGCGATGCTACTCTCTCACCATTCTCAATGCGTTGCGAAACTCGGCTATTGGCCCACAGTGACGGAGAAGGCATGACATTCGAGGCCACTTTGTCTCATCTCTCATGACTGCTCTCGACGAGTAACAAGAAGTTTTTGCAGGCTAGCCACGCAACCAGACAGCAGACTTGCAGTCAAGTTATTGTACCGACCTCGCCTGCACTGGTATTGTAGGCACACTACGCCGAGAATACATGTCAAACAATTCTCCGTTCCAAGACACATAGACATAACCAACCTTGTCTAAAACCATGACCGTATCGAATCGGATCATCAGCTTTGTTTGCCACCGTTGACACGGATTGTGCAAGCTGCCTGATCTAGCTGAGCTAGTAGGCTCACCAGTTGGGCATTGAGATTCACACGCCAGCCTGGAAAAGTGAGGCTCCTAAATCACTTCAAACATTATTGACGTCTTGAATCACATAGGAGGCGAACTGTCTCGCCCACGCCCACTGCAGCTTGGAGGCACAGCACGCGATCGCAAAATCGAATGCATTCTTGTGATGGCTCGGGCTTTTGCCCTCCAGAGGCTATTCGGATCTACATCGCCATGGCCGATTACGGATTCCAGGTCCACCGCCATCCTCATTTCAAAGTCTGTTCAACTCATTTGCATGTGGGACGGCAGCGATTACCTAAGTACAGGCTGCAGCTGCTCGACTGCCGGTATAGGTAGGCAAGCATAAGCAAGCCCTATAAACCTACGGTGTACTTGGCGGACCCTCGCGGCAACCGGTGTCCATGGACAAGCCTGCCCCGGACCGTTACCAACGGGCCGCGGATTGGAAGGTGGAAGACCCCGGGGCCAGTCTGTAATGTCGGGTGACCGGGGCGAGAATGGAAGGTGTAGGCAGAACATGTGAGCCGCTCATCATTCAAAGGTACTCCATGGAGACCAATCTGAATCACGTGCCTCGCTGTGAATGCTGAAATATCCAGTCCATGGCTGTTCATGAGCGCCCGGTCTTCGAGGTTCGCCCAGTATCGCTTCAAGACTGAAGCATGGCAAAGATGGAGTGAGCGGTCCGGGATACGGCCCGAACAGCCTCCACATGTGGTCCGTTCCTCGCTGCGGTCCGCACATGTAGACCGGCCGCCAAGTTCGATGGTCGACGGTTTCCAATTCACGGTGACCCGGCGGTCTGTCTGTGAAGCGGTCAACATGGAGCAATGCTCCACGAAACAGACTTTGCCAGCAGTTGCCGGCCTGGCAAGCAAGTGAGAGAATAACCAGTTGTCCATTCGCTCTGGTATCTCCAGTTTGATCGCATGATGGGCGGGGAAGATATCACGCAACCTGTTACCGTGCATAGCACAGTCTAACTTCCATTCTGCACGAACTGCACGAACTATAGACCCACCGGTCCAAGCAATTGAGCAATCAAAACTCGAACCTAAGGGCAGGGATTCCGATACTGTCCTCACGGCAGCGACCGTAGACCATTTCTGCGGGCTTCTCGCCTCGGCCATCGACCGATCAATGTTATATCAGGTTCATGATAAGTGCTGGGTACATGATAATGGAGGAATTGGATGATACCCCAGTTGTCGTTGCAATTTTAACCGTCATAATACACTCGGTTAACGGTAAAGCATCCACGGTTTCCGTCCAGCGCTGTTGCATCGTGCGTGTCCCAGATTTTATCGCGAATGTTTCCACTAGCGCAGGAACGCTTGTCTTCTTGGACCAATAGGCATCGTGTAGACTTTTCCCCGGGCCCTGGCGATGGGTCTTCTGGAAGGTTTCAAGGGTCCAGGCACTTCATATCTTCCGAAATCAATTGACCCTTGGGGGTCGCCGAATCCATCCACGTTTTCCGGTGATCCAGCTCTCGAGGACTCGCTGGTAACATGACGGTCGAAGAGGCAAAACCTAAGTGGTGAGAGAATGAGAAACACACCGGCCAATTGGGTATGCTATCGAGGCCGCTAAGAAACCACTGGATAAACTGAATCCCAGCATTGACTCGATGTACAATCGGCAATCGGATGGGGAAAAGGCGCAATTGATAACTGCAAAGAAGAACATGAGATAGGTGCAACAAGGCAATTGGCGCGTGGGGTTGGTTGATATTCAGACGAACGGATGGTACTCTACAATACGTAATCAGGTAAGTACTGACCATCTCTTCTGGGATCATCCCGCCAGCATCAATCATACAGAACGCCGTACCTTACATACGCTGGGTCAAACCTTACCTGCACTTTTACAGTACATAGTAGAACGACCATCACGTGCATGGGTTGCTGTGCAAGATTGGGTCATTGAGAGCCAAAATACTTGCTTATCTCGGGATATTTTTTTGCTCCATGCAACAGCAACATATTTTCTCGTCATTGTTGTTTCTGTTCCGTTTCACGTATACGTTGATCGGTTACGTAATGTTCCGTCATCTCCCAAGCTTGGTGCACACACAGCAGCTGGAGCGAAGCAAAGGGACGGAAGGAACCTGAGACGATTATCGGTCCAGGACACAACGACAGTCACAAGTTTCTCAACCGAAGCGTGTATCAGGTCCGCCCTTCGCATCATTTTCCCGCGGCCGGCGGAATTGATTTAGTTGTGGGTTGATCAATGATTCTTTGCTTCCGTTACATACGCGTACATACGCAATGGGCTCTATTCGTGCACTACAATACTTGACGGTTTCGGCATATCCATCATCTCCACACAGCAACACTTTTTGGGAACGGAGACCACTAACCAGGTCGGATTCGCTTCCAATATCGCGGGAAATGAATTACAACTCTGCTGCCGTGGATACGAAAACCTGCCCCAGGAAGGTTTACAGTGGATTCTAGCATGGGTAGTTTATGGCTAGTGCACAGCAGCAGTTCTCGCCAAAACTCAGAAGGCAAACAGCTGAGCAGGGCTCCTCAGCGTCGCAAGTCATTCTCTCGCCCTTCTGGAAGAACTTGGCACGCATAGAGCAAAAACAGCAGGCAGCAGGCACCCCACCAACCCTCCATTCTCAAGGATTCCTGAGAAGAAAACGAAGCGGAAAACGTAACAGCTTGCGTCGTGTTCCGCTCACGGGCTTCGCTACCGGAATCGGGTTGACCCTCCGAAGTTTTGGGTTTTTGGGAAATGGTCCGCTACGCCGCTACGCCGTAGTGGTGCACTCGGTCCTCGTCGGGTGGGGGGGAAATGGAACTTGGAAAAGAATATTCCATTTTCCATGTTTCCATTCTTAGGACTGGAGTTCTCGACGATGCCCTGCGACGGAGTTTGGGTGGGAGCAGCTGAGGTGAGACTGCTAAGGAACACCAAGTGGGAGCCGAGAAACACAATGGGAGAAGAAAAAACAAAGGAACGAATGGACGAGAAGAGCGACAAGAATATCCATTCTGTGAAGGAAGGCATTTGCGGACTGGACTATACCACTACGTAGAGATAGATGGACGCCGCGCACTATACAGCGGTGGTACGGTGGCCATTTCCAGAAGGATTAATGAAAATGACGATATAGCAGCGAATCATTCGGCGAGTTGTTCGGCTACTATCGAGTTCGACATTTCCATTCAAGTGAATGAAGGTCGTAAATCGAGAGAAAAGACCAGGGACGATGACGTCCCATTCTCAATCTGTTGCTTCTCATATGTAGCCACTTGTTGGTTGCTTCGAACTTTGGGGCCGACCGGTAACCCTCAGCAATAGTGATCCAATGGAAACGGGCAATTGGTTTCGATCCTTCACTTTTTTTACCTTTTTTTTTNTTTTTTTTTTTTTTGTCCGACAAACAATCATGTCTACCATGGATACAGGATATCCAAAGATTGGGAGGGTGTCACCTCAAGAAGTTGACGTTTGCTCACTGCATTTTGCTGCTGCTGGGCCGCAAGCTCATATAAAAAGCTTCTTCTATTTTTTTTTTAAGATGAACTATTCCATCAGTACCATCTACAACATCATCCCGCTTTGTGACTCGCATTATCCCATGCATATATACATTAAATGCATGCGAGAAGACATGGCCGGCACGCACAACCACCCGAATCTCGTCCCGCTTTTTTCTTTTTGACGTTTTGTCTTTTTCGAGGGTGGTAACCACAAGGTCAAACACAGAAGGGAGGGGTGGGAAGGAAGGTGGGTGACATTGATAGTAAGTCACACAGAGCAAGATGGAGAGGTGGAAAAGATGTCACCGGCTGAGAGGTTGAGGCTCCGTCGTGAGAGGCTTGACGTTCGGGGTACGACAATCAAAACACAGAAACGGTGGAACAACCAATCAAAATTCACTGGATATCTGGACGTACACTTCATCCGGATGGAGGGACCTGCAAGGGCAAAGAAAGGGAAAATAGACGTATTCATGGGCAGTCGCAGTACGATATGACTTATCTCGCTGTCATTATTGTGCGTCTTCAGTTTTTGGTGTACACTTTCCTGTAGTATTACCTTTAAATCGAATGGCTGAAGTGTAGCGATGCGTACACAGTTGTACCAAAAAGGCAGGAATATTGAGACACAAAAGAAGGATAATAAAAAGTGAGAGAGAGAAATTACCATTTGCACCGTCGCAGTTGTCACGCTTCAAAGGCGGTCAACAACCACTGTTAACGCAGGTACGGGTACCAAACAGGCAGGTAGGCACCGAGGCACGGTAAAAAGCAACCAGTCTCCGTCCCCCGTCCCTCGTTTGTGTCCGTGCTGCCTGTGATGCGGCGAGCAGCAAATGCAGGCACCGTAGGATACGCATGCATGCTAGAACGGACTTGTCACCTGCATGGACATCGCAAAACTTTTGGTTTGTGTTTTTGTGAGTCCCTTGCGAATTGTGAACGTCAGAAGACGGGGTTGGTTACAGACACGTAGAGAGGGCGTTCAGTGGTTATTGGACTTTGCGTGCGAGGTGAAAGTGTTATGGACAACCAAACAAGTGAAGAGAGCGGGACACAAGAGATTTAAAAAAAAAAAAAAAAAAAAAAAAAAAAAAAAAAAAAAAAAAAAAACCAAGATCAATTATGCATATCTGTGGCGCATTCGTGCCGTTGTTCTGTGGTGTATGTATGGTGGAGAGGAAGCGAGTCCACGTAGCTACATTGCATACAGCACAGAAGAGAAGCACTTCTCTTTCCACGTACTTGGATACTCTATCGGGTAATTACGACAAGACGCAGATGAGTTGTGGCTGTTCGACCTGATTTTGAATTGACTTTCTTTTTTCCTATTTTTTTTTTCCAATATTTTCTTTCCAATGTAGTAATAAAATAGTTTTGCAACTGAAAAACAGCCTTCGTAGGTAGTCTGTTTTGTAAAGTGCCTAGCCTTGTCACGCAATGATGGTTCGCGATATGTTCCTTTTGTCTTTTGCGAGCATTACTTCTCAAGTTGCTTCGTATGCCGTCTTTGTGCATTTCGGACATTAAGTATAGACACCAGGACATCGTTTTGACTTCTCGAGACCGACCAAAAAAAAAATACATGATTGACATGCGAGACCAATGAAATAGGACTGATCAGATAAAAGAAGCAAAAAAGAGGAGAAATTATAAGGCACAGAAGAAAACATATCTGACATTTCTGCGGCAAGGGCGCTTTACACAAGAATTATCGCTGACCATCCAATGTCTATTGTCGAGACAGGTTGGCAAAGAGGAGAAACTGGAGGCAAATACATCAACAAAAAGCGGGGAAATAGATTTGTCAATTTGGAATTGTTGTTTGCCTAACATAACTCTCTGGCTTCTCTTTGTCCGAGCCAGGCCATGAGCCTTGGTTCTGTGTAGGTCAAGGCTCTGTCAAAACGCCAAACTACCAGTTATTACTTTGATCCTATGCTTCTACAGGAAGCTGTTGGAGATGAGAGCCAGTTGTGGGTTTCCGAAGGTTGCTGAGTGACGATCCCAATTCAACATCATCAATATATCACTCTACTTCACGACGTGCCTCTCCGCAGCTGACGACAACTCCCACACAACATCATGAGGACGTAGAGACTCGCGGCAACTACTCCCCACGCCTCCAAACAGCATGCTGACAATGCCTTACATGTGTTTGAACCATACTAAATCAGACATCGGATCTATTACCCCCCAAATAGCAGTGTGGTATGTATCATCGTTCGGACAACTCGTCTTTCTGCATCCGCGGCACTGCTGGCGGCAACATTTTCAAGAAACCAACCGTTCGACAACAAACTTCAACCCACTTCCCTCAGGCAGTGAGATGCATTTGCCAGTTGTTGTTTGTTTTACCATCAATGATAACCAAACCATACTCGGCAGGTCACTTCAACCTACAACTTTGCTACTGCAGCGACAACACACCATCACTGCATTAACAGCTCACCCTACAGTACCTCTCTGCACAGTACAATCCCACTGTGAGAGAGCATTAGTGTAGAGTGGTGAGAGTGGATCCTTCACTCGCTCGCTCGCTCGCGAGCCCAGCCAACATCACGACCCAACGGGGGGACACATGGAACTCATCCGGTCGGGACCCCATTTCTATCCGGCGGAAGGAAGCCCGGGAGCCCGGGGAAGTGCAACGTTACTACCGTGCCAGCTGGCCCGCCGGCCACCATTCCTTCGATTCCATCTTTCCTTTTTTTTTTTTTTTTTTTTTTTTTTTTTTTCTTTCTTTCTTTCTTCCTTTCTTCCTCAGGCTCCCAGAGCCCCAAAGTCTGTGTGTGCCTGGCGCCTGTCCCCCATCACCTAACAACTGAAAGCTAGCCGTGAATAGGTTAAGCGGCCTACCCACCGCTATGTTAGCGACTTCTTAGCGGGCAGCTAATAATCCACATAGACGCCGCCGCGCCGCCGAACTTCGTCAGATTCAAAGTGGATCCCGAAGTGAACCAACCCGCTCGGACCCCGGCCAGCCGCCAGGCGGGCCTCCCGGACCCTAGCTCCTTGCCAGCCATTCATTCTTCGTCTGCGGATGAACAACACCCACCGCCCGAGCCCCGAGTCCCCCGACACCGACTCGAGAACGAATGGAACGAATCGACGACACCCGGAAACGAAACGGCCTTTTCTAGCGTAGCATAATGTGAGTCCCTAGCCATAGCGACACCCACCGACGTTGTCGTCGTCGACTGGTGCTTGCATACAGCCGACCGGCCCATGCATCCATACATGCATGCATACAAAAAATTTGGAATCGCGGTGAGCAGAATTTGCCCTGCAAGTACATACCCAGATCACTGTGTAATGTAGGCCTATCTCTCCACCGGCCATCCTCCTCTGCTCTGTCTGCCCCGGCCGGCAGGCAGGCAGGCCGTACGAACGTTACCGGATCCAGACTACGCAGTATAAGCACCGTATCGTCCATCGTCGTCGTTTGGTCTCGTGGAGTCGTGGAAGATTGCCATACCTCTCCTCCCCACTTCTCGCGTTCCTGGGTACTATTCCCTACCAACCAGATGATGGTAGATGGGGTTTGTGATGCGGTGTTCTATATGTACTACTTCGGCTTTGCTCGTTCGAAACTTTCAAAGCGGCGTAACATTTGATGTACCTGGTCTTGCTGAAGATGGGATGATATCGACGGTGAGAACGATGAGCGACGATGACGACGACAACGACGCTGATAATAATAATCATAAAGATTAAGTCCGACGACCTACCGAAGCCCGGCAATGTTTCTCCATGCTTCAACTCGAAGAAAATAGTTTCTCAATTATTCTTCATCCTTCATATCACATGCTTCTTACCCTCGCCCCCCACTCTTGTTTCTCTCTTTCTCCTCATCCCGACTCATATTACACATCACCCCTGGAAAGTTCGTTAGCTCGGTACTTACATGGGATTTTGACAGGGAAATGACAAGGGGGGTGACAGGGAGTAAAACCAGTAAAATATAGAAGGTAGTGAGGGGTGTTCTGGGTGATTCAGGTGATTCTGAGCCAGTAAAGAAGGTTTGTGTGTGTGTGCTCTGTTTACTCGTTCTCACTTTGAAATCAGGTAGATTCAGCCAATCAGAGTTCGTAAATAGACGTGTCCCGCCTTGCAACCCCCCCTGTGAAAGTATGTGGGGCAAGAACCACGCTAACAAACTTTTAAGGGTCAATATGTATGTTCCGTTGCCTTATGCTATTCCATGTTATGTTATGCCTATTTTCATGTCATGTTATGTGTGTTATGCCCTGTCCATGAACCCTCCGTAATCCATTTTTACCCCATCCCGCCGCCAATCATCATTTCACCAAAAAGAGACTTGCCTGGACTCCTACCCAAAGAATCGGTACGGTACATACAGATGGAACCGCGGAACCGCGGCCTTGCCTAACCTTGGAGAGGAAG